CCTGCATGAAAGAGCGCTGGTGCGCGATGTTTCATTCGAGCAGTGCTTCACTGGATTCGACTAGATACGATCACGAAAACCTATCTCGGACGAGGAAACAGCTGTGGACAATCGACTCCGATCAATCCGGCTCTGAGGAAGACCAAGCTGCCAAAACGTTAACCAAGTAAAGTTTTTTTTATCAACGTCGTGTTAGCTCATCGATGATAGAATACATACTGATTCTTTCAATGTAAGTTTTCAAGGCAGTTAAAAGTCTTGTTATGAGCGCACCGCTATCAGCATTTTTCTTCAAAAATTTCGTAACGAATCCGAGAAATTTGTCGCGAGCTGGGACCATCGTTTCCTTCGCCAACTTATCCTGAATCGTGAATTTTCATTAAATTATCATAATGTTGTAATTAAGTCAATATGTTGAATAACTTACCAGGTCGCCTGGCGCAAAGCCAAGAAGTGCATAGAAGTATGGATTAAACTCAGTTCTGTAATCAGTATACAGATCGACCAGTGAGTTGATTACCGCTTCTTCAAACGCGTCCTTTCCAGCATACCCTGAAACTCCCGTCAAAGATGATGAGAAACACAAACACAGCAATGACATCAACAGTCGTCAATAAATATAGTCCATCTCTGCTGCATGAGTTGCAGGCTAAGCTCCTATTTCACTAGGACATGAAAACCATCATACTTCTCGTTCAATCCTCGTGAACTAATCCTATTAAAAGATTTGTGATCCTAGTGTACGCTTCACATTCTGCAGAAGCCAACTATTGATGGAGCTTGGTTAAGACTCTTCGCTTAGTTGTATAACTATGACCCGTCCAGCCAACCTTGGTTTTGATACAGACTGTCCTCGATAGTCAACGTTGATTATTAGAATTATAGAGAGTCTCTCTCTCTTTTTTGCAAAATACGGTTCCTTTACTTGTGTGATTCACTCAGATGAAAAAAAAGCCTCACCAAAATTTACCAGACAAGAACAACTGTTCCATAAGGTGTGTTAAAAGACTTGTGGAATATTCTCGACCAGCGAGTGCAATCAAACGAGCATTCCCAGTTGATCAATAACCATTCAATGAATAATTCATGAACAACTTCACCGAAAGTCTTGGCTAAATAGCGATTGATTGCCTGCGATTGCGCTAGTTCTTTCCCGTCTACCTCTAGCACTGGCACTTGTCCAAAAGGCAAACCTGAAATCCACAATACTAATTTTATGGAGGTATTGAAGACTAAAAAGAATATTCTGAGTGTATAACTCACTTGCTTTCAATGGAGCGAACTGTTCTTTAGTCAGACGAACATCCTCGTATGGCTGGTCAGCAAGTGCAAATAGCTGGAATAATATAACTATTTAGAAATTTGGTAAGTAAAGAAAATCAAGAGAATCGAAATCAAATTAAGGAATATGAACGCAGCAGTAAGACTTAAAGCGCCAACAGGGAGATACCCACACCTGGAAGAAAATTAATGGGATACAGAAATAAGTAGTTGCTGAAAATAAGGATGGGTAGCGGCGACGAACTTACAAGACATAATCAATGGACATCCAAGTAACCTACGGTCAAAAATGACCAGTAGTGTTAAAACAAGTAGTCGACTACTTTCATTTCATACGACTGGTAGAAGCTACGAATCCCTTTCATGCTGGATCTAGAGCCCGCGGACCTTAGTTACCCTGAAGCGTCAGATGGATAACGGAAGTGGGCTCCTAGTTTCCTTCTCCTGGAGTTCATTGACTCATACCTTTCGTATGCATGTAACTACATTCATTCATACGATCATGATATGTTAGCTGTTGTGTACGCTCCCTCGTCAACGCGATCAAACAAGCATTACGTCTGCGCCGGTGGTGACTGACAAACTGTTCGAGGCTCAACCTAGTCCCCTATGACAAATCCAACGAGCTTTGCTTGGGTATTATTTCACCACAGAAAGCTAGGATAAAGTGGTTGGGGTGGGTGCTAACGGCGAACAAAAGAATCCAGGATAAATATGCTGAGGAATAAGGACACTCGATCACTAACAGGATTATAAGTGTTGGTACAAGTACTACACACCTGGCGAGCACATTCAGCCAACCCCCGACCATCAAAGTACGTAAGTTTATAGTGAACCATGTTCTTTCCGGTATCCTGCAAAAATGAACAGAAGAAATGCTCGAACTTCGAAACAACAACTACAGAAAAGCAACGAATCCGTGCAACATACAAACAAAACCAATTACAAAAACGGAAAGCACGTAGGGTAAATCTTGTAAGAGCTCTGTGATCACAGCCAAAGCACATTCGTAAAGTCATTCGACAAACAGACTTTTAACCACTTACTTTAGCTCTTGATGAAGATCGGCTTAACATAAAAGAAAAACAATGCTCTCAGTAGTCGAACATTAACGACAAAATGAGGCGATCTAACAAATCGGGCACGTCATTGGTCGCAGGCGCCCTGCAATGCACATGGGATCGATCCACGCGCCCAAGCCTCACCATCCCATCCATTCCTCTCGGGTCGGCATATTGGTACCAGACTTGTTTGGGAGGATAGCGGCACTGGCTCAAATACATTTAATCACCTCCAACGATGCTTAATGGTGGTGAATGCATAGCGCATCCCACAGGTATTCATCAACGCCGAGAGCGTTATCTATTACCCTTTTTGAAGTGATTTTCACAACGCAGACAAACAAGAGGCAAATGCAATGTAAAGCGGAAACTCTTCTAATACACATTATGCTTAAGATTATTGAATCTTCTTCTCTATCATTAGGACAAATTATGTAATCCTCTATTTTACAAAGACGGTGATGCAGACGATTCCAAACTAACTGATTTACTTCGCGTAGGAAACATTGCCGTTATGGTGGAACCTAGTTCGCAAAGGAAGCCAATGTACCTCCAAAGGCCGACAACAACCTGAGACGAAGGAGAGGAGATGACAAATCCTGAAGCTTCACCCAAACGCACCCAGGAACCACGTTAATTCATAGGATAGCGGTTGCAAGTTAGCGAAACGAATGGAAAAAGTTTTCAGATCTCAGCTCACAAACGCACTCAAATTATAAAAACTAACAGTCTTCTCACCTTTAAAGAACTACAGTAAAAACCAAACAGCAAATAGAAGACGAATAGGTTTACTGAAGCATCACTGACAAATTGGTTGTGTGCGAACACCGCCGCACGCGAATGCGATCAATATGCCAGAGAATATGCCGATCTAAGCGGCTGGACGATTGCCTCTGAAATCCCAGTTCGACAAACAACTGCATTAGTAGTCTGGGTAGGTATTTCCTTTTATCCAGGACTGATCGAAAACCATCTAGGAAAATGTCAGTGGTAAATCTATCCGTAGCAGTAGGGCTTCGCATGGGTGCAGAACACCAGAATGAGGTGCCTTACATTCGAAGGCTGACTCGTCGACGGTTCACTCCGCCTACTTACCTCCACTACTCTAACCCGACTCACAAGCCCGTAGCCACTTGTCATTTTCATTTCGCTTGTCATTTTATGTGGTAGATGCAAAACAAGGTTTGTGAAACTGGCCGCTGTTCAATAACGGTGCATTACATGAACATTTTAACAACGTAACTGCTATAAAGGACAAAGGGTGCAGTTCTCGACGTCGATCGGCTCCTGAGGGATGCGCCATGCACCCCGCCGACTTTTTCGAGCATCGTTAGAGGTGAACGAATGCATATCTGGCCTATAAAACGGCTCGTAGTGGCCTACCAATGTGTCGAGTTAGTGCTGCTGCCCCCCAGACAAGTTTGGTACCAATTTGACGATCCCGCAGGGATGGAGGGCTTTGTGGATCTGGGGCACCGGATCGATCTGTGTTATGGGAGGGCGCTTCTAACCACTGCGCCACACGTACCCTTAGAATTAACGATTAACATTAAGAACTGGTGGCAATAGTTCCTTTAATGGACTGATTACGAAAGAGCAAATAACACACACAGATGCAATTCAGCTGTGTTGTAAACGAGCAGTGAAAGGCAGGACCATGGTGCATTTCGAAAGTGTTTTGTGACTTTGTTATCAGTCGTGGTCTTGCACAAACCATGTGAGATCGTGGAACTATTTCGTTATAATTGAGCGCTTTTCTTAATAAGTAACCTGTTTAGAAAATACCGTAACCAGTAATCGGTTTTTCGGCGCTATATTGGATGTTTATCAAGTGTGACGACGACCTTCAAAGGCATTTGAACTCTTCGCCTTATCGATTAGTTAAATCTACCCTAAGTACAGTACGAATTTCACACCTGCATATATGAATAAAAATCTAACGAGTATTAGTAAAAGTTAACAAAATGCGTGACAGGAAGAAACAGATGCGACTTTTTAACCAATGAGGGAAAATATCCTTGCAAAACCCGAGTTTTCCTGCGAAATAAAGCAATACGCAGCGGTCGGCCCCATGCAGAAAAAGAATAGTCCTACTGTGTGTGTACAACAAGTCATGTGTTTACGAAATGATTGACTACATGTGAGGATTTGTATAGCATTCGACCGAAGTATTCCCCAAGGCATCTGTATTGGATAGCTGCCAAAAACCAATATGACAGATGAAAAAAGAAGGAGCTACTAGAGTGGCGATGATTGAATGACGAAGCAGTGATGATCTGCACCCTAATCATAACCTATGTGCTACTGCTCAGGCATTCTGTTGGTCCCTGGTTGCGATCTTTAACGGACTTTAACTCCAAAGTGAAAGAAACCACCATCTAAACATACAATTAACTGACACCTTCCACGAATGATGCTTTTATATTAGCAGGTTTATTCGTGAAGAAGTCGTTTCTGTGTAAGGAAGAACCAGTCCCTTGAGGAAATATTGCGCAACAATTCTCTCTTTTCACACTTCTCCTTGTTGTTGTATAAGCCGGACACGTGACCGCTTTTCTGAAAACCAGTGACTTTTAGGAGAATTTATCACGAACGTTGTTAGAACCTGTGTTATCCTGTCTCTTATTCGGAAATTCTGCATCAGTACACTCCATTGGCCTTCGTCCCGTACCAAAGCCGCTTAGTGACCTTGCTGGCTCGTTCGAAGAAATAAGGGTATCAGACCTCGGTTACGATGCCCTTTTCTAGTGATTTTATCGAGAAGATGACCATTGGTAGCTCATCGACAGCGAGCTCAGCCGTGACATAGGATTGTTTTCATCTCGAGGGAAGAGAACATCTGTGGAAATAATTCTAGTATTGCACGTAGATAGAACGATAGCCTTTACGGCAAATTCCGAACCGGTTCCGGTCGAAGACAGAATTCCAAATATTCTCTGCAAACAGATTAAAAATACGTGAATCACATTAAAAAAGAATAAAGGATGAAGATTTTGGCGTTGATCAATCCCCTCAGGAATGTGCCACGCATTCGACTTTACTAAGTATCGTTTGGAAGTGACTGAATGCATATCTGGCCTTTACAGTGAATCGCGGTGGCCTACCGATGTATCGAGCCAGTGCTGCTATCCTCCCAGACAAGTCTGAAACCAATTTGCTGACCTCGGAGGAATGAAAGGCTTGAGGAGCCATGGGCGCGGGGATCAATTCCACGTGTGTGTCGCAGTAGCTCCTCCAACCACTGTACCACACGCAACCTTGTGAAATTGCACTATAGATTTTATTCCATAGCTCTGGTCTATTTTGTATTTTGGCGACCAACTGCCACTTATACGATTCAACGAAGAGAGCGCTGAGTTCTCGCTATCAAACCATGACACTGATTGATCGAGCATACGTTCCGCTCGTCCAATGTTTGGTGTCAGAAGGACGATGTCATCAGCAAAGCGAAGATGATGTAACTGCCGATCATCGATTTCTCTCCCATTATCCCATTTCAATGTTTGTGTGACGTTCTGGAGGGTAGCGGTAAACAATTTTGGTGAGATAGTATCGCCTTGCCTAACTCTTTTGACGTCAACGTTAATATAGTTGTAGAATGGTGACATCGTGGTTGTGAAATTCTTGTACAGTTCTCGAAGATTCTTTATGTACTGACTAAGGACTCCTTTCCTATCAAGGGCTTCCATGACCACTTCTATCTCAATTGAATCAAAGGCCTTCTGTAAATCGGTGAAAGTGAGACAGAGCGGTTCTTTGTAGCCTCGCGACACTTCAATGAGCTTCGTTATCGTGTGGATGTGGTCCATTGTACAAAATCCTTTTCGAAACTGCTTGTTCACATGGCCGTCTTTCGTCCACTGTTCCATTAACCCTCCTAGGACGACTCGAATGAAAAGTTTGTAGATGACAGACAGCAAGCAAATTGGGCGATAGTTGTCTAAATCGTGTAGGCCACCCTTCTAGAACAATAGCACGGTCTTCCTGGTCTTCCACTGAGTAGGGACTTTGCATTAAGACAGGTAAGATGTGAAAAGCCATGCCAGTATGCTTACGAGAACTGGCGGAAGGTTCTTCAGGTGTTCTGATCTTATCCCGTCCAGACCTGGTGTTGTTCGTTTTGTCACCGACGAGATGCATGTCGGATTTCGGAATTAAGAACCGGTGTACAGTGCATCCATTCTCCTTCATTTCATATGACAGAAGGTGGACGTGGCTATCGAAGAGATCTGAGTAGTATTCGTGAATGATTTTCTCCATTGCCTTTCTGGATGCTGTAACTGTTCCGTCTGGGCGCAGGAGTGCAATCATTTTGGTCTTGTAATTGGTGAAGCTTCGGTGGGCTTTGCGAATGCTTTTCCCAGCCTCTGGAACTTCGACCATTACTGCTGCTCTTCTCTCTTTAAGATCCTCTTTTATCGCCTGTCTGCATTGTTTTCCAAGTTCGGACATTAGTTCGCGGTTGCCTGCAGCTCGTGCGATTCCACGCTGGCGTATCAGCTTGAGTGTTTTTGGAGACAGACGTTTGTCGTAGATCAACCCATTAGGGTGCTCAATGCCTCGGAATGAATTCCTAGCGTCTTGGGAAATATTAAGTGCATATTCGGGGTATAAAATAGCCTATTGGGCCTGTTTCTATATCAAGTTGTGTTTTTTTCATTTTCCAACACAAATAAGCTACCCAATTTTCCATCCCATCAGGAAGGTGGCAGACAGATGCGTGTACTAACCACTTTACTACCGAGGAAAAAAAGGTCCACGGATCTCCCTCATATAAG